TTAATAAATATAGTCTACTAAAATACTAACTACAATAAATACATTAACATTCACAATAAATAGAAACTCACTAATAAAAAAATCTATCAAAATAACAATGTGCATATAAATAACTACAGTAACAATAACAACATGCTCATCCTAGATATATTTCTATATAATGCTAATTAATAGGAGTATCGAGAACTAAATATTGTAAAATAATAACACAGGCAATAAATAGTCCAACTCCCAACCAGACGTCAATCTCCAGAAGATATCGTATTCTTTGACGTCCTAGTAAGATATCCCCACTGAAAAGAAACAACTATATAATTCATTTATGTCAATCGATTCATAAGGTTGATAGAAAATCGATAATGATAACGACCCCTCATTACTGAACTACACAAGGTAGTTTAGTTTGCATGCAAAATGTATCAGTAAATGTGTTACACGCTTGTGAGGATTTATCCTAATAAAGGTGTATTCTTCTGTTGGCTTCTATATAACAGTTGGTAGTCTTAACATGGGAGATTTTTTTCCTTCACTATTTTTCAAAGATTTTTTTAGTTCGTTCACCATTTTTTTTCGAACGTTTCTACTGTTTCGTCAACTTAGTGTAGCCACCGGTGATAGTTCGCAGCTCCAATCCTCCAATATAGCCACTCCCGCTCCCCTCACACACTCATTGAACAACAATCAATGAGTAAGTCATAAGACCTGTGGTGACCTATACCTCTGAGTCTAGGATGATCTGTAATGCCTCAGAAAGGAAGCTACTCCCTTAGGAGAGAAGGGTGCTCCGCAGTATCTACTGATCTCTGTTTTGATCTGTAGATCTCGGATATGGAATCATTCAGTGAATATGATGAGTAGTTCCACCAAAAAAAAAGCTACGCAAGATCAATGTTAGGCCGGATCAGTTGGCCTGATTAGGTATTAATTGTGAGGATTAACGATACCTGATGGTTGGGCCATGTGGCGCATATTCCCAGCAATTTAATTCCCAGACCTCCCAGCCGGAGGACGGAGCAGAGGAAGTCCACGCTTGAGGTGGCAGGGCAAGTTGAAAAATGGTCTCCCAAGATAAAGGAGAGCGAAAAAGAATTATATGTGAGGCCCAGGTCCTTGTAAGACTGTAACGCCAAGAATAAATAAATAAGTAATGTACAAATACATATATAAGGGGCAAGGAAGGACGCTAAGGCTTTTTAATAATATAAAATAAAAGCTAATTAACGTTGAGTTTGGTAAGTATTTGTAAGTGTGACCGTTTGCAGACGAAAACCAAGCTACCTAACAATTCTATTCTCCCATTTTACATGGCATCGTGTAGCCGGAAAACACATCAAGTAGCAGGAAAAAATAACGAAAGTTCATCATTTGGCATTCGCAACTTGTAGTTCACCATAAGACAAATAAAATACGTCAAACTGTATTCATCAAGCATTCACCAATGTTCAACGCATCGTGTCTCAGGGGTTTACTGTGTGATAGTTAAAGAAGTTTGACTGTTTAAATATTTTTCTATAGATATATTTAAGTAATACTAATGATAATTAATGTTATTGCATAGATTTTTTTTCTCCAAAATGTTCATTAGTTCAATGGATACAGATAGACTCAAAATAAATGTTCTAAATGCTAATAGGGCCAGTGTTGTAAATGTTTACGAGGAGGAGATAAAAATGGGGAGAGAGAAGGAGAGCAGTTAGGGACAGCGGTTGCTACCATTAGGGCAAGCAGAGCTCTCCTGGAGAACTATCTGCTCTCGGGCTCTATTAGTCTCGATACTCCGCCCTACCAGCCCGGGGTTCCCACGCTTCTAACGATACCCCATTGGGTTTATGTATCTTACAACTGCGGTCTCGCTATAGCGACCAATTGTGCAGAGGTAATGGAGGCTGGTGGAACTCACTTTGCGAGGGATCGTATACTATCATCAAAAACCTTGAATTCGTGATAATTATTACAGCCTCTGAACTTGCAATTAATAATAAGATATTGCTTTTACAAATATACTTCTTTACAAATGAAGTGAATCATTCTAAACATACATACGAAACAAACAATTACTTCTTATTTAATTATATTAATTTTTAAAAGGTAATTTACCTTTAGAAGCATCAACAAATTTTTTTTAGAAATTAAAATATAAATCAAGTAGATTTAAAATTAAAAAAAAAACTTTATTATTTTTTTCGTTTGTTTCACCTCCACCTTGCTTTTCTCCGAAACTTATTGCAGAACAAATTGGACAATTAGCTAAAAAGAAAGTTCCTAGTCACGACCTGATAACTGCTCAAGTGCTCCAGGAAATGCATAGAAAAGCTCTAGTATACTTAAGGTCTATTTACAATGCAATACTCAGAATGACTAAGTTCCCTATACAATGGAAATACTCGTATATTTCAATGATCCATAAACCAAAGACAAATACACCTCTGTATCATACAGGCCAATTAGTCTACTCACAATATGTTCTAAAATCTTTAAAACTACTCCACAAAAGTCTTATACTAACAGACACAAAAATAATACGCGAACATCAATTCTGATTCCGATAACATTCAACCATCCATAAATTACATATAGTGACTGACTAAATTGCAACGGTACTGGAGTAAAAATTGTATGCAACTGGAGTATTTCTCGATGTCCCTCAAGCATTCGATAGAGTCTGGCATAAGGTACTTCTTTTCAAACTTAAGAAGATATTCCCTCCTACCTACTATTTTATCCTTCAACCCTTTCTTTCTGGCAGATTTTTCTCTGTTTGCCAAGGCTCAGAACTTCCTTTACTTTACTTTTTACATCATATACACACACGACATTCCTAACAGCGCCGGAACTATTATAGCTACTTCCGCAGACGATCAAACAATTCTAAAAATACATAAAAATCCTATACACGCCTCACATACTTTACAACATCATCTAACAAAACTAAACGATTGGTGCAAACTTTGGGAAATTCGACTCAACCAAGACAAATCATAAGACATCAACACTTCACTCTTCGACATGAACCATGCGCTCCAATTTACCTTGACAATGCCGAAATTCCTCAAATAGATAAAATAAAATATCTTGAACTGACATTCGACAAAAGAATGACATGGGGGCCAACAAATCAACAAAAAAAAAGAAAAAAGAAAATCGCTAAACCTCACACTAAGACTTAACAGCCGTATAACTACTCACTTCTCTCAAGACGCTCAAATTTAAACCTAAAACCAAAACTGAACACTTTAAGCCCATTTGGACCTACGCTTCACAAAATTACGGTACAGCCAAAACCACCCGCATACGAAAACTACAAAATTATCAGTCAAAAGCTTTCATGACCATAAGTTAACCTCCATGGAACATCACAAACATTACTTTGCATAAAGACCTTCAAATGCCAACAGTTAACGACAACATACGGTCACACTACAAACGGATTTACAATAACTTACACGGACACACTAATACGAAGCACTGCTACATTTAGCATACCCGAAAACACACTTAAGAGGCTCAAAAACCAACACGCTGATAAAGCCAATTACTCTCTTACCGACAGAAGACCCGCTAATTGTCATTGCTTATAACAGATGTCGATGATGATGGAGTAAAAAATAGAATCATATGTGTTGTTTAATCTCAAGCATTAAGTAGTGCCTGAAAAGGAGAAGGCATACTTCTAAATAGCATTTTATGATATCTTGAGATATCGTCTCTTATTTCTTTAATAGTGCAGTATGCAGTTCACAGTTTATGGAATGGTATTCTATCTTTAAATCCGTCATTGATGTTAATCCCATAAATTTTTAATGAGGTTTATGTCTGAATAGCAAGCAGACCAATTACACGAATTTGTCGATTTCGAAAGTCTGTATTAACGAATCTAGTTCTTTGAGGTCCAGCGAAGTCGACAAAAACGAATCTGGACCAATTGCTTCTGGCATTCGTTGTATTATTTGTGTTAAGACGCTCCCACTCTAAGTGAAACTGAGTAGTCATAGTCTGATTTTGTAATAGCCTGAGCGTTTGGTTTTTACGAATTTGGACTCCCAATTATCCCAGGCACAATCAGTCCATGATACGTGAATCTGAGCGAATTGATGTCTTTGAAGTTTATGTTGGGGAGTAGATTCTGAAAAGCACAGACGTTTTCGCGCAAACAGTGCAATCCGTGCTCTATCATCCTTCTTATAACTGCTTGGAGGCTAATTTTCACATTAGAGGCCGAAAAGAAATCACGAGTTAGCCTTCGGTAATTGTCGAAGAGAATTCTTCCAGACCGGATAGTAAAATGTCGGCCTTGTTGTTCCGTTGTAGATCTTTGACTTCCTCCACCATATATATATATTCGAAGGGACCACTATCCTGGTTACATCTCCATGCGTGACTAACCACACTTTCTGAAGTTCGTAGACTTGCTGCCACATTTCTCATGGTGTCTCGCATTCCAAAAGCAGCAGCAGCTGTTGCAATTTCTACTGCTGTAAGAAGTCATGAAGAGACTCTATAATGCTCTGAAAAAGGTTAGATAAATAATACTAAAAACGGTTAGCGAAAAATACATTTTCGAGAAACAAAGTGAAGCGAACATAAGATATAAACGAACTAAACTGAGGATAATCCCCTCTTATTTTATGAGAGAGATTATTTCAAAGAAATTAGACACCTACGAGTTTAAACAATGAAAAAAGTTCTAGGTTATGGTACAACTTTAACATTTATTTAATTTCTCAAATAAGGTTAGGGTAAATGAGAATAAACAGTTATTTGGCTTGATATAATTTATCTTAAATTGATTTACACATCATTCTACAATAATATTCTATTGGCTTAAGTAACTAAGAACAAAAGTAATTTCTTGTATCAGCTTGATTAATTGCAATACAGAATGATATTATCATAATTCTGCGTCAATATTGGATCTTTCCAAGCATAACCTAGATATTTATCTACGGGTTATCTGGGATGGGTTATATAAGATGGGAGTTATCTGTAAAAAAATATAACGCTTAGAAGACAGATATAAGGATTATTCACAAGCAGAGCTATAGAGCAAGCGTTCTATTGGTGAGATACATTCATTTATTTATTTATCAATTTATTTATTAATTTATTATAAATAAAGGTCAGGAAAATTTTGTTTAGTTAATGCCTTTCTATTGTGTCTATGCAGTATTATATAATATAAAATTTTATCACATTTTTTAATCTTTGTTAAATATTCACGTAGTTTTAAAATGACACTACTAACTATTATTTCATCTATAAATCATTTACAGATTATATAGTATTTCACTACACTTAACGTCTCTGGACCAATAGAGATTCATATATTTTAAGTGGGAAAATACCAAAAATATCTGCATCTATCCAGTTACTTATATTATACTATATAAATCTATTTACCGGTATTGAATAGAAGTATACGATCAAAAATCAGGTTGATTCTATAAACCTTATAGATTCTAGAAATTGTTTCTAGAAATAAATTTTAATTAGTATAACTTCACAAACATAAATTTGAAACACCCTCTTTATCCTATGATCGCCTATAGTTTATATTTTTGGCAACGCTAAAAATAATAATTAAAAGAAAACAAATTTAATACATTGTATTCGCCACTCATCATATCATTTCTTTGACCAATGAAGTAAAAATGATATAGATGCTAACTAATTATTTTTATTTTCAACTCTATAAACTAGGAAAACTTTACTAAACTTGTGCCTTATTGACAATTACTAGCCTTATGTGAATTTTTTATTAAAAATAAGCTGGTTATTATTATAATATGAGTATATTATCAAAGTTATGTGACCTATCAGGATCGGGTTTATAAGTAAATTAAAATGCTTAATACGAACACAAATATTTTAATAACAAAAATATGTAATAAAAAGCGAGAAATATTCAAAATATAATTCCCAAAAGTTTAAAATAATAAAAAAACAAAGGCCTAGGGCAAAGTCAGGACAAAAATATTGATTTACATGTAAAATTACGTTTAATGATTTAACACCCTGAACTCCACACTCCGATTATCCGTTTGAGAACTTAGCGGGACAAAAGTATAGAAGCCATAGTATTGATAAAGAAATATTTCTTTCCCATCCTAGACTAATCTGTTATTGTTAAAAAACGTCATTGAATTATTTATAAACTATTAAAAACAGGAGTTTTTTTTTTATATATCTCGAAAAGTTTAAAATAAAATATAAATTGTCTATAATATAATATCAGTTACTGTTGGGCTGAGAACATAGATTTACTTTTCATTGTGTAGTATTATATAATTATATTTGTAGCCACCATAACAAGAAAATTCAGAACACACACTTCACGGTGTACAATCTCGTTTAGTAGCCTGTAGAAACGAATGATTTTTTTTTTTTTTTTCAGGTCTTAATATAATTTTTCTAATAAATAAACAGACGAAATTATCAATTTGTTTACAATATCGGAGCATAAGCATAAGAATAAACTTTTTACAATAAAAAAATACAAGGATTTCAATTTCAATGTTGCTATGCATTAAAAAAAAAACTGGTGCCCACAACACACAACTTTCACTTACCTTACTACTTTGAATAGAAATTATTTTCTCGCAGTGTTGAGCAATTATAAAATTTTTGAAGTGCACTTTTAATGGAGCTATAGCTTAAGATTTACAGCTAACAAATCATTTACACCATTAAAATAACAAAAACTCTATTAATTATTTCAACGGGAGACAATAAAAATCTGTTTTTGTAAACCACATAACTACAGTCTCTGAGCGATATATATATGCCTAGAGAGATTTGAAAGTATATCTCTATATTCAACCTATAAATGATTAAGGATCGTAGGCTTATTAGTTATTAAACCGTTATTTTCCACTGTGGAATTTACTACAAAGAAATTACGAGAATTCCATTGCCTGCCATAGGCAGGTCAAAAGTTTTTACACTAATTTTTAGCGGATAATGTTTGGATTTAACAAAGGATTCATCAAATTATTAATTAATTAAATTTTTTAAAAGGTTACGTGAAATTTTCGGAATAATAGATTCTATATTAGATATTGTTTTTTCTTGAATTCTCCGCTTTTCAACGATACACTATACGTATATCTTCTGAGTAGTATTTCCATAAATTCATTTTCGACCTCAATAAACCTTTTTTCTTCTTTTTACAAATTTTTAAATTATCAAATTCTTTAAAAAGTTATATTTAACATTTTTTCGCTACTCTTAATAATCAGAGATGGTTAATCATTTAAAATAAACCAAATTAAAGGTATTTTAGAAAAAGGCATGCTGAACATTTAAGCATTTAATCCTTGTAAAGTGACATCAATGAAAATAAGAACTCAATGATATTAAAAACCACTTAATCATACAGTGATACACCGAATTTAATCGGAGATTGTAAAAAATTGTTTCACCGTTGATATAAAGTGGCACTTCCGGTTAGCTGATTTTAAGGGAAAAGTTTCTGTCAGATCCGTCACATATACCTATATCTTCAATAAGTAATATCATTTTCGTACGACTTTTCGTTTGGGCTAGATTGTTCACATACACACACACACACACACACACACACACACACACACACACACACACACACACATACAGATACACACACAGACCATTTTGCAGGACTTGGTTAATTAGATTCAGGGGACCTCAAAACGTGTATTTCCGTTGAAAAATCAGATTCAGAAATTTTCAAAATTCAGAAATCGCAATACTTTCTCTTACTATATATTACTGTAACCCATCTATATTTATCTTCACTTACCTATGTAAGTGAAGATAAATATAGATGGGTTACAGTAATAAAATATTTCAATACTACCAACTAATCTGAGTTTAGGTTTACTATTTTAATTTTTGTATTTAATTTGTTTTCCCTTACATATATTTTATTTGTATATAGTTTTTTTCTCCATTAGTTACTAGCTAAATATTTTAAAAATTGCGCCTAAAACATTAAAACAACCAACTAATCAATTTCACTTTTTTTAAATGTCCTTGATGTGACAGAATGTAATATTTCTAAATAAACAAATATAAAAAAAAAAGATAAATTTTATAATTTTCCTTCAATTTCTACAGTTGGAGCAAAATATACCAACATAAATTAAAAATCAAATTGACTTGGAAAAAAATGTATTAGAAAGAATATATATAATATAATATATAACTTAATCAGGTTTTCTAAACAAAAACTACCGTGTATGCAAACGAAAATTCTTATTCATAAAAATGTATAGTTTTCCATGGATTATTACAATTAAATAATTATTAATAAAATTACCAATATGAAGTAATTCGTACTTTGTCACGGTACCCCAAAAAATTACCTAAGTACTTTAGAGAAAAATATTAAAAATCAATATGTGAAAAGGAAACTCTCTTAATCAATTTACTAAGGAAAGAAATAACATAATAACTCAATAACTTTCATGTAAAATTATTGGACTTCAATGGAAGTCTTAGGCCAATAAAAAAAAAAAAAAAAAAAAAAAAAAAAGAGAGGGAATATAGCTTACTAATATAGCTTATATGGCTTACTAAGGGATCTACTCCTCGTTAATTTTTCTCAACATTATAAGTTAAAGGTATTATGGTAGTAAAGATACCTGGTAGTATTAAACATGCTTTTAACAGGCTTATAACAGTAATAGATTCATAAATGGCATACATTTATAATATCAGGCGATCGTATTTTATCAGTAATTATCTTTTGATAAATTGCTTCAGATATTCACTATACGTTGTGCCAAAGGAGTTGAGATATAATAAACTTCACATCTTTGCTACTGGGAATATTCATGTTGACTTCAACGGTAAGTTTATACTCAACTGTCTAGGAATATTCTTTTTGCTTTCATGCACTTAAACAGAGTGCAAAGAAGAAAAATATTAATAGAAATGACAACGAATCTAAAGAGGTACAAAAAGTTTATATAAATAATGGTCCAATTTTCTACAGAAACTTTAGCTTTTGTGGTTTTTTAAGCGAATGACATATCTTTGTTTAATAGGATGCGATAACTAAAAATATTTCTCATCAAGGGAAGTAACGACTGCTTCCTAGTAAACTAGACAAAATTTACTTCTATTAAAAATAAAGTTTGTCTTTGTTTAAACAGACTCTTAAGTGACTAAACTTAGCATAGAATCCTGTTTTTCATAAAATCATTTTATGTGATTCTTTTCTAGTCTTCATTCTATTAACTAACACGTTTCTAGACAATCCTTGCTTAATAAGCTTTAAGTTCATATTAGTTAAATTGAAGTTTGTTATGGAATAACTTGATATTGATGTCAACTTATGTAAAACACATCATTTCATTTCACTTATATTTCATAAAAGTCCACTTATGTATTTAAATATATCAAAATCATACCACTTATTCAGACTATTCATTTTTTTAAATAATTACTATCTTTAATCAATATATGATTAAGTTTGTATTATTGAGAAAATTTACCACTTTATTTAATCAAAAAATAAATTAATAATATAAGGGAAATACTGAAGCAATTTTCTTAACTTAGGTACATAAATTTCAATTGACGAAGAAAGATTAAAAAAAAATAATTATATTATAAAATGTTTCCACACCAAAAAATTTTATTTGGGTGTACACCACAACTTTTAATAACCAACCAAGTCGACAGGACTAATTATTATTTATTTATTTAGAACTATATAATATTATGAAAGAGCTAAAATTATGAAAGAGTATTAAGTACCAAGTTTTTATATTAACCCTTAAAAACTGCTTGAAATGTGTTGTGTAGTATTTCAATTTAGTTTATTGACAGAAACATTTATTGGAATATTAAAAGATATTTATTAGTTTTATCAACCATTTAATCAATAATTTGACAAAAAATTGACATTTTATAAACTATAGCTTATTTATAGAAACTGTATAGAATAGTAGATAGTTTGATAATCAACCAAAATGATTTAAAAAAACAAAGTCTTAATTTAAGTTTTGATCTTGAAGCTTGGAAATAATTGCAATATTTTTTATTTAAACATGTTTATATTGTAATATGAAAAAAAATACATTACTTTCCATAAATGATTGTTCATAATTTTGTCATCACTCTAATTTACCTTCAACTTTATGTGTGAAATACAAATGATCATAAAACCTTTAGCTGGCCGAACGATAATTGTACTTTATTGATGGATTGCATATTATTGTGGAGTATATTATTATAATGCATATTGTTATAGATTGTACTTTACATGCTTGTTATATCTCTTATTATGGGAACTTGGTTTTCAACATAGTTGGGTTTCCTGGGTTATATAATGCAATTTTTTATTAATACTAACCACGAGACACCGTTATTTATATCCAATAAACTATATTGAACGTAATTTAGACGAAGCCCCATTTTAGTCAAAATGTTACTATAACATCCCAGGCATATACTTGACTTAACTGGGTTATTTTAGTTTCGTATGACTATTTCAGCTAGACTGCTCAAAAACACAGCCAATATCGTGATACGTGGTTATTGAGGGTCCTATTTTTTCCTGTTGGATTACAATGCTTCATTATTACAAAAAAAATAAATCAAAATTAAAATCCTTTCTTAAACATTAAATGTTTAATTAAAGTGAAGTTGAATAAAAAAATCGTACTGTAAATCAGTTCGAAATATGTGGTGAAAATATATCTAGGATGTTGCCTCTAGAAAAACGAAAAACGATGTGAATAAGACCGAAAAAAATATTTTTTTTTTTTAGAAATGTTACAGCTTGATACCCTAAAGTTGGATTGCAAAGGACATTTAGACATTCCCTCTCTTCCTATTGAGTTATTTTCTGAAAAAGTGGTATATGGTGCAATCAAAATTTGTGAAGGTGGTGAGGGTATATTTTTAGGGGGTTTTGAGTTTATGAAAGGGTAAATTTGGACTGGCTATAACTTTTTGGAGGGTACCATATTTTCATGTTTTAAATTCTTGTGGAATTTTAATTTTGATGAACATTCAAACCAGGGGGAATAGAAAACGCATCCAATAGACTTAAAATTTTTCGAATTTTATTTTTGCTTACGCTGGTTTTAAGAAGAGGAGAACCATAAAATTTCTAGACAAAGAGGGGCTTGGCGCTATCGATCTGGGCACCTCTATGTAAATTTGTAAATTTGATATGTGCTGAATTGAGTGTAAATTCAAGCTCAAATGCATTTTATTTTCTGAGATTCATGCACCCTCTAACCCTCAATAGTCAGTCACATGACGTTGTCCAATTTTTATACCGATCTTTTTTTTAATCACTTTATATTTAGATCTGATTATCCAATTAATATTTCAAATTATGGTGAAAATGATGTCTTGAAAAAGTCAATAGATATAACAATCGTATCGATGCATTTTTTTTTTTGTTTAGTATGTGGAAACATCACAAGTCTTTTTTGAGCCGAAAACACTGGTCAGCTCTTACTGCCCAGAAGTGAGCAACAGTATGCTAGAAGAAGGGTTGGACTACTGTGCCAAGGCGTACAGTTACCATCTGATCAGCCCCACTATAACCGAGTTCACCAGTCTCCAGGCTCTTCTTTTGTCTTTGCTAAGGTGTTTAGTAACTCAAGACACGGAATCTTGCGCCATCCTTGCCAATTGCACTAATCGTATCGAGCAAGTGCGGTCCAGAAACGTCGGACTTTGGCTCAGGGAGGACTTCAGGTTCCCAGAAGACGACATGAAACTGGCAATGGCTCGCCTCGATTCAAAGGTAGCTGGTGGGGCACTGGTACTGAACTCAAAAGTCTTAGACATTGTCTCTTCTCTTGCTGACAGCTATGGGATTGTTCTACAATCGAAAGTACGTTTTTCACAATTTACCTTTAATATTTACTTTTAAAATATAAATACTTATTTTTGTAAGATCATTTAAACGCAATATTAATGCAATTTATTCTGTGACTAAAGAGCTCTTGATAAACCTCAACTAGCTATTAGAACGAGTGATGTACGTACTTGAAAGAGCAGTATGAAGACCTCCTAGACTACTGTTTTCTTTCTTCGAATATACCTAGACCCCAATACTTTTTCTATATTCGTGGTGTTTCAGAGTTAAGTGGCGAAACTGAAAATAAGAAATAAGGACTTCAAAACAAGAAAAAAATTTCCTCTGAATGTATGTCAACAAACGCATTGTTTAGGATACGTTATATGAAATAAATAAAACTTATTTATTTGTTGCAACTAATTTAATCAAACATAAACATTTAATTCATATTAACTGTTGTTCAAAGTAATTTCCCTGAGCATGATGACAAGCACCAGTGGCAGAAATGCACTGAATATGTGTTATTGTTTTACAAGATTCAATTATCCTTCTTCGTAAGGAATTAATTTCATTGACCGGACTTGCATCGACTTTTTTTTTTAATTTTTTCTTTTAACATTGCAAAGACCGTATACAAACACCATATCGGCATATTCACCATAAGTATGAATGGAAGGCATAATGATGAGTACTCTGCGAAAGCCTCTTCCAAATTGATAAATGTTATTGAGAGTTCTCAATGCTAATTCCAAATAGTAATAATCCTTATGTTGCCATTAGCTTTTACACAGTTAGAGATAAGAGGGCTATATTAATATTCTATGTAATCCATCTCTTAAACAAAGCGTTTGCGGCCATACCTAAAGAGGAATTTTGTTTTCTTGTTTTGAGGCTCTTATTTATTTTCGCATTTTGGCCAAAAACCCTGAAACACCCTATATACAAATAAACAATGTTACAGATTTTACCTCTATGTGTTTTAATATTAATTTCTTTCACATTTGTAATTTTATATATTCGTTACTAAGTATTTAATATTATCACCATAAGATATAAATTATATAGTTAAAATTCATATAATTTCTTTAAATATTTACAGAGAACAAGTCGTGATTTGGCACTTGAACTAGAAAATGCTGTGGCTGCCAACATCCCTTGTGAAATTATTGCACTAGCCAAAGAAGGAGGAAATATCAATGAATTGACTCAGTCCGGGGAAAGTCTCGTTCATTTGGCAGTAAGGAGTCGAAGTACGTCTTCAATTGCTGCATTGGGGTTTCTGAAGGCTGATGTAGAGGTTCTCAACGCTGCTGGTGAAACTGCTATGGAGGAAGCTATTAAAATCAATACTGTCCCATCTATCAAGGAACTGATATTGGCTGGAGCTAAAATAGAGAAGGAGTTGAGCAGGGGTAACTCTTACCTTCACTTAGCGGCCATTTCTGGCAAAAATGAAGCATTGCGTACGTTACTTGAGGCTGGACTTGAACCCGGTGTGAGAAACCACTTTGGAGAGACTTCATTGCAGCTAGCTGTCAAGGTAGGAAATGTCAAGGGGGTGGATATCCTACTGGAAAGATGTACTAATAGCTCTTTGATACGAGAAGAAGCAAAGAGTCTTTTGAATATGGCCGTTGTGACCGCGAATATTGATATGTTTAAATCATTTATAAAATGTTGGGCTTTATTAGATCTCAGATTCAAAAATAATGACACATTATTTCATTTGATAGTTCGTTCAAATAACGCAACTCAAATGCTCAAAATACTGAAAGATAGAAGTGTGCAATTAAACATCAGGAACGAGGAAGGTCTCGCACCTTTACATATAGCTACCGATCCATCAGTTGTTGAGGCACTACTGGAGATGGGTGCGGATGTCAATATTACTACAGATAACGGAGAAACAGCTCTTCAAATAGCTTTGGCCAATGGATATCTGAATGTTGTAAAAGTTCTAGTTAAATATGGTGCAGGAATTGACATACAATATAACCACGATGAAACTGCTGGTAACGGCAAGACCCCACTCATTGAAGCATCTATTCACGGTCATTTGAATGTGGTAAAATTTCTGATTGACCGAGGAGCGCCTACCAACGATAAGGATAAAAACGGATGGACTGCACTACACCATGCGGCACGAGAAGGGCATGTTGACGTGGTGGCTTTATTCTTGGAATGTGGTTCAGATCTAACTGTTAAGTCAGCTAATGGCAAGACCCCACTCATTGAAGCATCTATTCACGGTCATTTGAATGTGGTGAAACTTCTGATTGACCGAGGAGCGCCTATCAACGATAAGGATAAGGATGGATGGACTGCACTACATCATGCTGCACGAGAAGGGCATATTGAAGTGGTGGCTTTACTATTGGAGCATGGTTCAGATCTAACAGTTAAGTCAGCTAATGGCAAGACCCCACTTATTGAAGCATCTATTCACGGTCATTTGAATGTGGTAAAATTTCTGATTGACCGAGGAGCGCCTACCAACGATAAGGATAAAAACGGATGGACTGCACTACACCATGCGGCACGAGAAGGGCATATTGAAGTGGTGGCTTTACTATTGGAGCATGGTTCAGATCTAACAGTTAAGTCAGCTAATGGCAAGACCCCACTCATTGAAGCATCTATTCACGGTCATTTGAATGTGGTGAAACTTCTAATTGACCGAGGTGCGCCTATCAATGATAAGGATAAGGATGGATGGACCGCACTACATCATGCTGCACGAGAAGGCCATGTTCACGTGGTGGCTTTATTATTGGACCGTGGTTCAGATCTAACTGTTAAGTCAGCTAATGGCAAGACCCCACTCATTGAAGCATCTATTCACGGTCATTTGAATGTGGTGCAACTTCTGATTGACCGAGGAGCGCCTATCAACGATAAGGATAAGGACGGATGGACTGCACTACATCATGCTGCACGAGAAGGGCATATTGAAGTGGTGGCTTTACTATTGGAGCATGGTTCAGATCTAACAGTTAAATCAGGTAATGGCAAGACCCCACTAATTGAAGCATCTATTCACGGTCATTTGAATGTGGTAAAACTTCTGATTGACCGAGGAGCGCCTATCAACGATAAGGATAAGGATGGATGGACTGCACTACATCATGCTGCACGAGAAGGGCATATTGAAGTGGTGGCTTTACTATTGGAGCATGGTTCAGATCTAACAGTTAAGTCAGCTAATGGCAAGACCCCACTTATTGAAGCATCTATTCACGGTCATTTGAATGTGGTGAAACTTCTGATTGACCGATTAGCGCCTATCATCGATAAGGATAAGGATGGATGGACTGCACTACACCATGCAGCACGAGAAGGGCATGTTGACGTGGTGGCTTTACTTTTGAAACGTGGTTCAGATCTAACAGTTAAGTCAGGTAATGGCAATACCCCACTCATTGAAGCATCTATTCACGGTCATTTGAATGTGGTGAAACTTCTGATTGACCAAGGAGCTCCTAAATAATTTTTTATTTATTTTTGTTTTATTTTTATTTACCTGAGTTGTTTTTTCCATTATAATATTGCACTATATTCTCTGTTATGCAAATTAATAAAAATGGAAATGTATGTATTGTTAATGTTAAAAATCTGGTGCAGTACTGAGAAAAAGCTGGTATCACACAATTTTAATTTACCACTCTTTTTATTTTATCAAATAAGTATTTTCTGGCAAGTGTAAGTGAAAGTAAAAATCGTAAAGGATTTCAAGTATTATTTAAGAGAATTAATTACAAATCTTTTTCATAGCCGTTTGTGTATTTTATAATATTTATATTTTTTATCATCAACCATTTACATTTACGACACTACGATAGATTTAGACTCTATTAGAGAAAATTTATGAGAATAAGATCGAGAAAATTGTAAAATTTATGATATAAAATGTCATTTCCGGTTAGCTGATTTCAACGCAAAACTTGCAGTAAACTTTCAATACCTAATTTCAGTTCCGATTTCGATCTAGACGTAAATATAACAATATGGAAATCATTTTCTTAGAAACTACAATATAGCATACGTCAGTGGAAAACATACACACACACCTATAAACAAACACACACACACACACACACACACACACACACACACACACACACACACACACACACACACACAAACACACACACACACACACACACACACACACACACACACACACACACACACACACACCTACACACACACATCACACACACACATCACACCCAAACACACACTTCTACATATATATTTGAGATATCTAGCGTTACATGCATTTTTAGCAACTTACATTAGTATTCATCATTTAATTGGCCATTTTGTACTGTTCCCATACCTAAAAGAAAATACAGTAAGTTTCTTAGTATTTATTTATTTATATATTAATGACAATAAAAATTCTAATAATAACAGTTTACTTTTAAAAACCCAAAAAACAATTGTAAAATAAGTCATATAAAATGTTTGAATAATCATCGAACATATTTTATATTAGTACTCTTCGTCGTAAACCAATGACTTGCTGCTCTATAGTATCCTTTAATAACACCCCACTTATCCTTGTAGAACAAATTCCATACCTTGGACTCCAGCTGGACAAATATCTCACTTGGAATCTTCATACAAGACTGTAACGACAAGAAACTATTCGACGTTTACGCTTACTCCAACACTTACTAGACAAACGCTCTAAACTTACCATCAATTACAAACGAATCATATACATGACTATAATAAGACCTATTTGGACTTATGGAGTTGAACTATGGGGCTCCACTAAACCATCAAATTCCTCTCGTATCCAATCTTTACAATCGAAAATCCTTCGTAAAATCCTCAATGCTCCTTACTTTGTCACAAATAAAATAATCCATAAAGACCTCAATGTTCCATATGTTTCTGATTTAGCCGAATCCAGATACCAACCCTTCCATGATAAACTTCATAAACATCCGAATCCTCTTGTTTCTAACCTTGCTTCCTCTTCGATTCCTGATAACACTCCGAGGCGTCTGAAAAGAAGATGGCCTCGTGAACTCATGGAGACAAATTATTAGAGTGCTACCAATGTGTAGAGTGCTTAAATTAAGAGTTTCTCAACAAGGGTGTTTCATGTTATTATATTCCTCTGTACACATTTACTTGATGTATTCATACTAATACAGTTGTAAATATCATAATAAAAGAAAAAATATTAGGACTAAAGAGGATGTACAAAACTTTAAAAATGTGGATTGTGGATTCCTTCTATTACATCATGTATACATAATTATTATATTTTTTCATAGCCCCTTATTTATTTATCCGACAAGGTTCAAGGCATTAGAATTCTTTTTTTTTTCTGCATGTTTGAATTTTAAGGAGATTTATATCTCATTATTGTTTACGGTAATATTTTTGTTTGCCGTATAATGATCAGGTAATGGGGCTCACTTTTTTAAACTTACAAACTAAAACATAAAGCTACAATTTTAATTTTCAAAAGAAATTTGATAGTGTTGAGGAGGTTCAGAACGTTCAAGTCGATTAAATGAGGGATTTTTTACGTATTTTACTGATTTGAAAAATGTGTTATGTCTTACTATAATGAAGTCCTTAACTTTACTTATTTTAAATTCTTAGTGTTTTGACGATTTTCTCTTTGCATAGTCGTCCATTTAGCTATTACATTTTGAAATGTTTATGGCTTTTTTTATGTTCATCTGTTATTTTTGTTAAAGTAGGACGTATTTATAGTTTTGTTTGGATGATAAAATATGACTTACTATGATTTCTATGGTGCGGTTTTAATTTTCTTACAAAAGTAGACCTAAAACGATAAATGCCTATCTTCTCCGATGTAAACGATGTATATCCTCCTCATTCTCTCTCTCTCTCTCTCTCTCTCTCTCTCTCTCTCTCTCTCTCTCTCTCTCTCTCTCTCTCTCTCTCTCTCTCTCTCTCTCTCTCTCTCTCTCTCTCTCTCTCTCTCTCTCTCTCTCTCTCTCTCTCTCTCTCTCTCTCTCTCTCTCTCTCTCTCTCTCTCTCTCTCTCTCTCACTCTATATATATATATATATATATATATATTTATATTCTGAACGTGTCAACAATATATTTTAAAAATAAAAAATATATACATATATTATTTGTGTATTATAATAATAAAATTTGCATTATAACCTTACAATTTATTGATGTTTGATTTTTTTTAAAATATGAATAACTTCTAAAAAATAATAATAGCAATAAGAATACATAAATACAATAAAATACATATATAGGTATTTTAGTTAAACAACGTAACACTAAAAGAAAAAAAAACATTAAAAGGAAAATTATAAGAATACAGAAAAAATTATGTTTGGTAATTAGACGAACCTCAATGGTTTTAGTGATAACATTTTCATATTTTTTTTAGTAGCAAAAAACCGTGCGTTATAAAAGAGACTGCATTGTTATTGTGTAAGTATTTGACCTGGAATACTCATAGAGGCAAACACGGACAATGAAAAATAATTATTTTTATATTTGGAGGTCTTATATCAGTAAGGCGCCATGAAACTTCGAGGTTACACACAACAGAACGGTTTCAATACATATGTGTATACCAAATCTCTATCGACCATCTCCCTTAAAGGTAGTTTTATTTCTTTATAATTAATTAGTTTAAATTGTTTTTAGTTGTTCGAAACATACTAAATTGTTTTGTCAATTTACAAGTTTCTGTTTATACAATTATATCGTTCGTCCCCAAGATAATAGAAAAGCTACTATATAGAATCTTGGCCCTTTTCGTAGTGTTTCTAAAAAAAATAAGATGGAAAAGAGTTTGACGAACGAGAAACAGATCTAAGAGTTTCAAGTGATACTCCATAACCTAAAATTTGATAGATATAATATTTCTTTCACATGTGTGGTTGAATCATAATTTGATTCTCACATACTTTACATCTTTCTTACATAACACCACTACTAAATGACAAATATTACGAGCTTGGGCAACCATTTTATACTGCTGATTGAACTTATATTTCTTAATGCTCGTTTGAGAAATATACAGTTAGTTTTCACAAACTGGTTTCATATAAACTTTTTATTGAAATGAATCATTTAGTTGCATACAATTACAAGTATGCGAAGTTGATTCGCTTATGTATATATATATTTTTTTCAACTAAGCAGAGGGAAATATTTAAAGAGGTAATATCAGACCTCAAAATCTAAAAAAAAAGATGATGTAAACATTATATAAGGAAATTTAATTTTGAGTTTTTGTTGCATATGAAGCGATAACTAAAAAATATTTAATTTAAATAGTTATCATTCTCTTTATATGATTCTCTAACTATACTGTAGATACCAAATTTTAGGTTACTTTCATGTTTACTGCACAACCATCCGAATCCTCTCGTTTCAAACCTTGCTTTCTCCTCGATCCCTGATAATCCTCCGAGGCGTCTGAAAAGAAGATGGTCTCGGGACCTTCTAGTATAGAACTTTAATTTGAGTTCTACCAATGAGTAGTTTCTCTTCATGTTGTACATGTCATGTTACCAATGTTACATTTACTTATTGTATTTTCCATGTAATACAGTTGTAAATCCCAATAAAATAAAATTAAAAAAAAAAAAAAACTTTCATGTTTAACCAGTTTTAAGTTCACTTAATTCAGTTGAGGATTATTAGGTATAAAGTTGAGAGTTGAGAAAAATTATATAATTTCATATACTGTCACCTAAAAGTACCAGTGTTTTCAGCCGAAATGACTACAATAAATGATCGCAAAACATTCATTTTTACTTTTCTATCTATGCTAGGTAAGGAAAGTATTGCGATCCGGTCAAATTTCCGATATGCGGTTTTCAACGGATATATACGTTTCAAAGCCCCCGAAAAACAAATTTTTAGTCATTGGTCTGTCTGTCTGTGCCAAAATTTTTTCGGGAACTACTGAACCGATTTTGTAGCTTCTTTTTTTATTTTGTAGGGATTTGATGCCTGTGACAGAAATTCGGTGCTCCATGCGCAATATGCGCAACGGCTCAAACGATTTTGATGAAACTTTCATATAATGTTCCAATAATTGTCCTTTCAATTACTAGGGGACTAAATTCCCGAGAAAATAAAAGAAAAAAGTTATAAAAAAAAATAAAAATGTTATGAGGCCTAACTCGTTAAGTATATAGTAGATATCCCTATATTTAGCCTGTTTTTAAAAAAGGTAATGAAATTCCCTACAAAACTATATAAAAATCGTTCATTTTGGACAACTATTAACGAAGTTACAGCTATTCAATTTCCAATATAAGATTACGGGTTCAGACAGAAAGTGGCGAATGAGAGAAAAAAGATGACTAATTGAGAGTAAGAAAATCTGTTGCCCGCATCACACACTTCTATATTTCATCTACTTTTAACAGAAATTATTGTTTGACAAAAGTAAGCTATGGCAAAAAGTTTTTTATCTGTAATATTAGAGAGTATTGAAATTTTCACACTGATATACCTTAAGTCGGTTTACATTGCTTTACTTTATTAAATAAATCGTACTCAAATCATTTGATCAATTTCAATTCGTACTTTGATCAATTTCTGAGAAAATAAGTCTAATTCAATTTTTTTTTGTTTCTTTATGGACATACGTAAAGATATAAAAACTTTTCTGAATTAGGTAGGAAAATCGTGTGAGTGGACACGCCAGATTTTTTGTTTGTGACCTGTGATTTATTATAATAAATATGAACGCACTATACACTATATACACTTTGCACTACTAGAAACAAATGTCAAAAATAATCATTTTTCGATTAATTATCATCTAAAGTGAAAATGACACTATGTTTTTACCAAGATCTTCCTAATAAGAATTGATCCGTATTTATAAGTAAGCATCTAAATGTTCCTAATCCGAATATTTACTTTTTATGAAAATTATTGAAACAATCAACAGGTTTCTTTATTTTAAACTTAAATATTATGACTAGAAACATTTAATATGTCTATTATTAATACTGATCAATTCCTATAATTGATATCTCGGTAAAAATGGAAGTATGAAAACAAAATAAATGAAATTAAAGCATTGCAATAACGATTGTACTCATTTTTACTAAAATTTGACAGGATATAAAATCACAATTTTTTTTTACAAAACTTGAGATAATCCTTAACTTTTTACTTAACAAACCTCAACTTAAATAATGTGGACTTAAAGGTTATTAAACGAGAATTTTGTTTTGAATGCGTAGTATAGTCACAGATTGATAAAAAAGAATCGCAAATAATTTATGATTTTTTTTTTAAATATATAAATTAGTTAAGCCATCTAAAAGTCTCAATTTAATGTTTTGTAGAATGAGGAACTCTACTTTCACTTGAAGTAAATTTTATTTAGTTTTATCTGGAGCAATCGTTAACGCATTGATTTAAATATTTGTTACTTATCGCTTTTTATTCAACAAAAAACGTGACCTACTAAAAAAAATAACACAAACACAATTATTTTGCAGAATATAGAACCAATGTTCTTATAAACTAAAGTTCTTGAAGTCTCCTATCACCACTTCAAATAATTTCCTGAACTTATAGAACACCCTGTATAAACAGAATAGATACCTTCACAGTTCTTTCTATTAATGAAAAAAGTTAATAATGTATTATTTTCTTGTTTTTTAAATACTGTCAATGATCAAATCTTAGACCACAGCTAGACGCATTTATTTTTTTTTTATCATAAAAAAATTAACGATGATTTGGTTATTTAATGTTTTGTGAATTTGTTTTTCGCGACTCATGATTTAACTGATTATTAAGTCAGCTTTTGTTTTACAAATATACAATTAATTAAAAATGTATGTTTGAGAATCAATAGATCCAAAGGAGTTATATAATTTGTGTAATGAATAATAAGTGAAATTAAAGATAGTAAGAGTTCGTTAACTATTTTAAAAATTCGTTGTGAGGAAATTAAGAAATTGGATGGACGAAATATTACACTCAACCTAACTTTGGACATGCAAGTAGGGCAGCAGTCAATATAGTGTACTTTAGTGTTGCCCAAAATCGGTCTTGGTCTTGCACTTTGCAAGACCAAGACCAGAACTGGTAAAAAAAAATCGAGTTTAAAAAATAAAAATTAAGGCAAAATAGTTACTAAATGCTTGTCAATCTTAGTTAAAATATGTTAATAATTGGTATAGCCAACGTACTCTTGCATTTAACTCCTCTAAGTTATCATTCGGGCTTAGTTATCTAAAAAAGTTACAGTAATATCTCTATACTAATAAGTAACTGCAAGACTGTTGTGAGACTCTTGCGCAAGACCAAGACCATGACCAAGATTGAGTTTTCAAGACCAAGACCATGACCAAGATTAAGTTTGCAAGACCAAGACTCGTCTCGCTCTCGCATTTGGGCAACACTAGTGCACTTGTCACCCTCTGGATGACAAGTAAATAAAATGGTGTACACTGTTTTTGATTTTATTATCAGATGTTTCAATGATATTTGAATTTCTTAAGGAACCCGAAAAAGTTTTTTTGTAAATTGACGTATGTGTTTTTTTTTTAAAAAGGAAAACTATTTTTGACTGGTACTAAAATTTATTTTAATTTTTTTCAATATATGATAATATCTCTGTGACTGATTATAACAGCAAATTAAGATAAAACGAATAATTAAGTAAACACGGTGTAATTGAATTTAAATTTTTTTAAAGGAAAAAAAATTGAAAATTATACCGCATAAATAAATATTAACGATACCAAAGCAATTTAAAGTATTACGAATTACACTAAAGTTGAAATAGCAAGGACTTGGCGACATTTCATTGGCCGGTTCTGGTACCCGTCGTCCCTGCGAAGGACGCCTACAAATTCCTCCACAGGTTTCGAAATTGGAGCTAATACCGTGTGTCATCTGATGACGTCATATAAGACCATATTTCTGAGAAACCCACGATATGGAGGGTACCGTTAT